TTAGGGTGACATAGTGTTTTACCACACTTTTATTGGCACAAACACTTTGCAGAATAACAGCATGAATGAACCATCTGAGCCAATGTTTAACAGTGATGAGTAAAGCAGGACCTCTAAGATTAAAATGATCTACAGTTTTGTTTTGTTTTAAATTAAGTAGAGGTGGGCAAGAAGGTGTTGGTGAGGAGAAACAGCAATCAATCTTGAGCAACTGTCTAAAAGCAGAAAAGGACCCTTTAGAAAAATAGTATATTGTGGCCTTTTTTGGGCGTGTACAGCTGTATCAGCACGTCTTCTCAAGTTTTGTTGACTGTAATTGTGTTTATTTCTAAAGAGTGGCAAAGGCAGCTGAGCTCTAATGTGTCCAGCTACAGCAGGAGGGGGGTGGCTGCCTTGTTGCCCACCCCATCACAGGGCTGGAGGTGATGTGCTGTAGGGCTTTGGGCAACACTGTCACAGCCTGGTTCCGAGCCAGGTCCCTGATTGCCCTGTCACCCTTGCAGCAGCAATGTCATCATTAGCAGAGAAGAGTGATCTGCTGGGATGTTAGCAGTTTAGCACACCAGAATTTTGGTTCTGTTTCCCCACTTTCAGATGCAGTACAACAAACCACTGGGTTTACCTTCCTCACAATTCCCACCAGCGCTGTGCCCGACACACACTTGCTTTGCTGGAGTTTCTATCTCCTGGCAGTACCTCAGTGCTTTTCTTTTACCTTATATCTGGGATCAAACGCTCAGCTTTTCCTGTGCAAACCACCAGCCAGCCTCTCAGTCTGCAGTAACTTTCCAAGCCATAGCTACCCAGCTTTCTGGCAGTGCTTGAGTTTTGCTCAGTCACCACTGTCTGTGCTGCCTCTAAGGAGCTGGGCAGCAAGAAAAGCCTCCACTCCCACCATCTCCATGGCCCGAGAGATGTTGGAGCACTGCCTGCTGCAGAGGCTCCGTAAGCCCCAGCAGTCACCGCTGCTGGCTGGGTACTCTGCCCTCATTTGTGCTCTGCTCATAAAAATAATTAAAAAAAGCTAGTATTAGGTGGCATTGAGGGATAGGGTAGACGATTACAAACTTACTCTTTTTACAGTGCAAACTGTTTAATATTGTAGTTCAACAGCTGAAAATCTAAGGCCAGAGCTTTCATAGGACCATAGCTGTTTTCATTTCAGTTACCTTAATATAAATAGCACATCTAAAACATTGATTGTTACCTTACCAAAACTAACAGCTCTCACAACAGCCCTGCTAACAACTGTCCAAGGAAATATCTTGAAAATCGTAGAATATCTTGAGGTGAAAAGGACCCATAAAGATCATTGAGTCCAGCTCCCTGCTCCTCTAAGGACTACCTAACATTAAACCATATGACTAAGAGCATCATCCAGACACTTTTTGGAGTCTGACAGGTTTGGTGCCCTGACAGCTTCCCTGGGGAGGGTGTTCCAGTGACCGACCACCCCCTCAGTGAAGATCCTTTTCCTAACATCCAGTCTGAACTTCCCCTGACACAGTTTCTTTCCATTTCCTTGTGTCCTATCACTGGTCACCAGAGAGAGGAAATCACTACCTCCCTCTTCACTGTCCCCCTTGAGGAAGCTGTAGACTGCAATGAGGTCAACCCTCAGCCTTCTCTTCTCCAAGCTGAACAAGCCAACTGACCTCAACCGCTGCTTTTAAGTCTTGCCCTCTAAATAGTCCACCAGTGCCAAACCCACCCCCGCCTCATTGAGGTATCCTAAACTTCCACACCAATAAAATTAATGGCATCCAGTGCCACCCACCCATTCTTTCTTCATGACAACACCAGTTCAGCAATATGTACATTTTAGATGGCACTTAATACTTGGTTGCAGGAATAATCACAAAGGACAGAGGTTTGTGACAAACTTTTCTTCAGATTTGTGTCATGCACTTTCTGCAGATCAAGGATGCTCTTTTCCTTCTGTGTGACCTCATGACAAATATACTTTGGGGCATTAATGCCCTATGGTTTAATTAGTAAGGCTGCTTCTCTTTCTCCTCGGGGCTGGGCTGAGGAGTGACCTGACAGGGCAGCATGTCAGATCTGGGAAATTAATTCTCAGCCATTTCCTTCCTCATCAGTCATCGGCTGCCTGCTGCCCTCAGACCTGATAATTATACAGGCAGCTCAGATAGGACTTGCTAATGAAGGGCCATGGAGTTCTTAGTCCTGACTGCTGAGGCAGGGTCCACTTCTCCTAAGTTCAGCTGCTGCGAAGTTAGACATTCAATACAAGCCAGTCATCACTCTTTCTGCCCCTGTGGTCAACGGGGAAAGAGGGAAAGAATCTAATCTCCCCAGAGAGACTCATCCCATCCTAAAGAAGACATCTGGTGTAGGCAGGTATTAAGCCAATAATTCCAGAAGTTAAAGTATCTTTAGTTTAGTAGCATATAGCTTTATTTTTTTGCCAGCTAAATCTCATTCTCATAGTCTGTCCTAAACGTAGGCTTCCCTTGCCTGGGAAAATGCTCTTCTTTCTCCCATACCTGCTTGTTCTTCTTTCTCCCATACCTGCTTGTTCCTGGGAAAGGCTTACTGGAAAAATTTATTGATGAAGGGACAGAATGGGCAGTCACACTTGGAAGACTGGAAGAGAGCTACAGCTCTGGTGTCTGCTCTTTGCTGCCTCAGTGACAGGGAGGTGAGAATTGCACAGAGTTGTGAGCTAAGGAAACAAATATGAACTGCTCTAGACTCCCCCCCAGCATTACCTAACTTTACAAGGAAGCTGTGAAATCTAATGCTTTGTTAACTTTTATGTCCTATTTAAACATCAGTATTTAACCTTCTGTATAAAAACAGTTATACTTTCATTGGTTATTCAATTGTGAATGGCTATTTCCAAGGGCAGCAGGAGGCCACAAGAACAGAATGGTGTTGGTTAGCACGGACTGGCCACCCATGCACCATCATTAGAGCAAGAGTATCTCACTACCTAAGCCATAAAGACCTGCAGTAAAGGCATGGAAGCAGAAAAGCCACACAATTAGGGTGACATAGTGTTTTACCACACTTTTATTGGCACAAACACTTTGCAGAATAACAGCATGAATGAACCATCTGAGCCAATGTTTAACAGTGATGAGTAAAGCAGGACCTCTAAGATTAAAATGATCTACAGTTTTGTTTTGTTTTAAATTAAGTAGAGGTGGGCAAGAAGGTGTTGGTGAGGAGAAACAGCAATCAATCTTGAGCAACTGTCTAAAAGCAGAAAAGGACCCTTTAGAAAAATAGTATATTGTGGCCTTTTTTGGGCGTGTACAGCTGTATCAGCACGTCTTCTCAAGTTTTGTTGACTGTAATTGTGTTTATTTCTAAAGAGTGGCAAAGGCAGCTGAGCTCTAATGTGTCCAGCTACAGCAGGAGGGGGGTGGCTGCCTTGTTGCCCACCCCATCACAGGGCTGGAGGTGATGTGCTGTAGGGCTTTGGGCAACACTGTCACAGCCTGGTTCCGAGCCAGGTCCCTGATTGCCCTGTCACCCTTGCAGCAGCAATGTCATCATTAGCAGAGAAGAGTGATCTGCTGGGATGTTAGCAGTTTAGCACACCAGAATTTTGGTTCTGTTTCCCCACTTTCAGATGCAGTACAACAAACCACTGGGTTTACCTTCCTCACAATTCCCACCAGCGCTGTGCCCGACACACACTTGCTTTGCTGGAGTTTCTATCTCCTGGCAGTACCTCAGTGCTTTTCTTTTACCTTATATCTGGGATCAAACGCTCAGCTTTTCCTGTGCAAACCACCAGCCAGCCTCTCAGTCTGCAGTAACTTTCCAAGCCATAGCTACCCAGCTTTCTGGCAGTGCTTGAGTTTTGCTCAGTCACCACTGTCTGTGCTGCCTCTAAGGAGCTGGGCAGCAAGAAAAGCCTCCACTCCCACCATCTCCATGGCCCGAGAGATGTTGGAGCACTGCCTGCTGCAGAGGCTCCGTAAGCCCCAGCAGTCACCGCTGCTGGCTGGGTACTCTGCCCTCATTTGTGCTCTGCTCATAAAAATAATTAAAAAAAGCTAGTATTAGGTGGCATTGAGGGATAGGGTAGACGATTACAAACTTACTCTTTTTACAGTGCAAACTGTTTAATATTGTAGTTCAACAGCTGAAAATCTAAGGCCAGAGCTTTCATAGGACCATAGCATTGTCTAGGTTGGAAGAGACCTTTAAGATCATAGAGTCCAACCATCAGCCTAACAAAACCAAAACCACCACTAAACCATGTCCCGAAGCACCACATCTACCTGTTTTTAAATACCTCTAGGGATGGCAATTGCCCCGGGCAGCCTGTTCCAATGCTTGACGACCCTTCTGGTGAATAATTTTTTTCTAATATCTAATCTAAACCTCCCCTGGTGCAACTTGATGCTATTTCCTCTTGTTGTATTGCTTGATACTTAGGAGAAGAGACCGATCCCCACCTTGCTACAATCCCAGTGAATGAAGAAGTGGCAGGAACCATAGCTGGGCAGGGAATACCACTGGCATTGCTCTGGAGAGGCCGGGAAGTGCCCTCCTGACAGACCTAGGAACAGGACGGGAGTTTATTTCACAGCTCCCCCCCAACAGCTGCCTTGAGAGTGGCCACCTATCTCGAATGCTGGAAGCCCAACTGGATGGCAGGGCCACTCCACACCAGCTGGCAGTAGCACTTCACAGTCCCAGCACATTTAGTGTGATGGTTATATGGGTGTTTGAGCACATCTTTGCAGGATGAGGCAGTTCAGAGCCAGCTCCAGCCCTGGAGGCAGGCGCCCATGAGGGCAGGAGTGTGGCTGGAGCGCAGAGCCCCATGCCCAGCTGGGGGAGAGGCAGCCCCCATGCAAGGGCCTAAAACCTCTGGCAGTGAACATCTTATCCTAAAAATGGCATTTTGTTTGCAGCACAGTTCTGAGAAGAAAAGCTGCATCTGCTGTTTCCCACAAACTCGGCTAAAGGGTGGTGCTGCCCATCTCAGGGAAAAGCAACAAAGCACTGCACACACATTCTGTAAAGAAAATGTTTTATTTAAAGTGTTAAATACCATCACCAGAATGAGTTTGATTTACATTAGTTGGTGTTCATTACAGGCCTAATCTGCCCTTTTTTTTTGTTTTTTTTGTTTCCCCCAACTGTAATTCCTTTTAACTTTTTAAAACGTACTATGTACAAGACAGCAGTGATCACTGGAATAGTGCTATTTACATGACTAAACCATAAGTAGAGTTGCAGACGTGTGAAAATTAAAAAAAATACATTAATTTTTTTTAAAATAAATACTGCATAATGACAAGTATGTACAAACCTTCCATGCGTCATGTCCTTGTTTTTAAAATTTGAAATAATTTATATAGGACTATGCATACAAGAATGTGTGAGCGCATCTCACAGTATCAGGAAAATGGTTATGTATTTTTGTTTAATATCCTAGGGGATATTGTAGACTGCATGTTAGTAGTATTTATTTGCTGCTGGTAGACAGGTGTCTAAATTATTTCCATAAATATAATTTTACCAGTCTGTCCATTAACTTAACAATAATCCATTATATAAACTCTGAAGACAAGACACAATCTTGATTTATATGATATTGCACAAAGTAAAAGGCATTTTAAGTGATACTGTTATTACTTTTGCCCTCATGTGAGGCATGTACGATCTCTTAATGGGAAACTTTAATAGATTTTCAAATAAAATCAGAATAATTGTGTGTGGCCTTAAAGGTAAATGCAATGTATATTTCAAAAATTATTGCAAGGTTTCAGTATTAAACCTTAAATAGGTATTAAAGGCATACAAAGACCCAGAAAAAAAGGATATTTTGTTATTAAATGTTAACCAGTTACATTCCCTTTAAATAACGTAATTTAATGAGAAGCTTGAACTTGCAGCACCACCCAACGGTAGTTACTGTCTGCTACAAAAAACAGGGGTTTGAAGAACCATTGACTGCAGTGAGGGTTCTGGAAATGGTGGCAAATAGCTGTCGGAGTGGTACTGACAAGCTTTCTTTAAGGCTATTTTACGAACCAAAGATTTGAATTTTTCAGACTGATATTACTTAATTATGTCTTTTGCAACACAAATGTAGTTTATGAAAATTGAACTTTACAGCAGAAGAACTGTAGGAATTATTAACCTTTGTTGCTTTCGTAATCTCAAAAATGTAGCAATTAATTTGGTTTAGTGCAAATAAAAGTGTTTAAATTTATTTTCTAAAACCAACCAGGTACTTCATTTTTCCTCTTTCCATAAACCCTCAAGAAATGATAGTTCAACCTTTGAATGAAAGATGCTGGTGCTGAAAACAAATTTATTGAAGACATCTTACAATGGCCACATGATTCCAGTATTTTGCTGTAGAATTCAATTTGAAGGTGAGAAAAAATGAAAATAAGTTACCATGCACTGTACAATAAATTGCAAAAAGTTCAAATATCTTCTTTATCAAATACATGCTGAATTACATTAATGTACTCCCAAGCCATGTTGCAAAATCCTTTTCAACATGCTTGAAAAAAAGTAAGTTCTTAAACAATATTTTTCTCAAATAATTCAGAAATGCAGAACAATCTGCAACCCTGAACCAAATATGGGGCATAAGAGAGTAATAAGTCAAAAGGTAGCCATTTTAGAATATGATGATCATCCTGGGAGGTAGAGGGGGAAAAGAGCAAAAGGAAGAAGGGAGACTGGGAAGAGAGATAGAGAAAGGAGGAGGTAAAAGAAGTGTACAATTTGCACATTATGTTGAACTTTACAAGGCTTGTACCTTTTACATTTAAATAAATTTAATATATTACACTTATTTCTTGTCACATAAACAGAATTTTAAATATTTGCTAGAAATTATTTTTTATTTTTAATATACGTCTGCAAAAATACAGACCATGACTGGTTTAAAGAATGATAAACGTGGTGTGTCTTTGTATCACCCTGTTGCATTCTCTTCCCTTTAAAACCATGCACTAGTGAAATTTATTTTTAAAAATAATATAAATTGTTGAAAATGGCTGATTTATTTTTTTTTTTTTTTTTTTGCAAGTTGCAGCCCCAAGAAAATAATTTAAGTGTTCAGCTAAATCTGTGTCCATGCAAAAAAGTTTCTTTAATTTCATACAGTACAGTATATCCACAGAATTTTATTTTTCAGAGAGTCCATCACATCTGGGTTTTCACTGTATCTATAGCTGGAGGTATGAAGCCCGCCACTTCAAGTCTTGAACCTTTTCAGTATGAAGAGTTTTCGGATCTCAAGCAACTGTGTCAAACAACAGTTGACTTTTACAGCATTCTTACATTCTTCTTTTCTTCCGATGTCTGCTAATCCACTGACTTGTAACATGGCTTCATGGGAGGGTAACTCCATTTCTGTGGCATAACCAAGCTTTAGGAGGGGAGGGCAGATAAATAAAGAAACGGGAGCAACAGAACAGATATGCCATTGAAAAGGACTTTTGTTGCATGAAACAGATTGATTCTTTTAGTTTAGTCCATGGCTTCAGATTGGACCAAAACTGAGTGTCCCTGAACTCCAAACCTATCAGTTCTTCATGACTGCAGTCCTTCACCTGAGGGCCTTCTGTAGGGCACAATGTGTGCAACTTCCTTGAGAACACAGGATCGCGTTGCAGCCCTAGAAACAGGCTCAGAAGACACAACATTAAGCATGCAGTGTTACCAGGGTTTGCGACCTGTAATTTTATTTTTTTTGTAACGCTGGTTGCTATGACAACAGTTTCACAGCTGCTATGAGCGAGCATACGAAGGTCCTGTTGAACTTTCAAGAGATGATTGGGAAGCTCTTCTAGTGAGAGGAGCTAAAGTTGGGTCTACTAGGGAAGAAGGAGGGAAGAGTTTGAACCACCCAATCACCATGTTGGACAGGTCCAGTTCATCTAAAAGTATCTGTGCCACTCCCATAAAGGACTTGTGATCCATACGTCCATAGTCTCCCCAAACGATTATCTGTTAGCAAAGAAAACACAAGAAAATAGAAACATTTCAGCAAAAAAAAATCACGAGATCCAATCTGATTCTTCAAATGTCTCTGCTTGCTTAATTATAGTAAGGAACAAAATATTTAACTGCTGATACAGTTTAGTTCTGTGTATAAGCATGAGGCAGTGACAGGAATGACCTGGGCAGTAACAGAGCAGTTACCCACGATACTAAAGAAAGTCCAGTGAGAGAAGGAGCCCATGCACACAGCAGAGCCAAAAGAATCTAGAACTAACTTTTGCTCAGCACTTTCTACTTGCATCAGCAGTTGTTACTGCAGTATTTATGTGCTCAACAAGCATTAGAAATAGCAGAACTCATCAAGTGAAGCAAGAAAGGAGGTTTGAAACTCATTCAATAAAAACTGTACAGGCCACATTTTCAGCTCTAGATGAATATTGATGCAAATTACCTGTAAAACTTTGCCTTGAGGACTTTCTTCAAATGACAGAAGTTGCTGATAAAGCGGTTCCAGCGTTTTTCTTGCTACCTTTGTTTTCTTTTTGGCTATGCAGACTCCATTTTCTAATAGATACACCTTTACATATGGTGCTTAGAAGAAAGAAAATAAAGAACAATAAGTAAAGAAGTCCAGATTACTTACATAACAGATGGAGTGTTCTATCACCATACGATAAAATCCGCCTTTTGCTGGATATATAACTTAAATGAACAAATCTCCACAAGCAATATTAACATTTATTTCCACGCAAAGCACTCATGCATTTTCTTTACTTTTCTCCCTAGTATAATTTTTTCTTTACTTCTTTTTATATGTCTCTTTTGCCATGAAACAATTCAGATTTTGACCTGGAAAAATCACATATTCCTATATATAGTATCCCTATACTGTACAGTATGCAAAATAGGCCTATTAAGTAAATGAATGACTTGCACTGACTTTGGTGAGATTTGGATCAATGCTCCAAATTGTTAATAATTTAAAATTATCTACAAGGTGAAAAATCAGTGAAGAAAAGACTCTGACACAATTTCTATTTAATCAGAAGAGCTGGCTAAAAATATCATTATATTGTCCTTTTCACACGGTGTTATAGGACATCATATTATAAAATAAGCAGTAAGTATCAAATGCTGGTCTACTTTTCAAGTAGGTACCTATTCCACACTTCTTGTTGATACCCTCTTCACTCCTAAGATGCCTATAGCAGGTGCCCAGTACATACTTTCCTCTCTACCCCATAACAAAGGATGTATTTGTAATTACTAAAATACATCAGACACCAGTCTGGTATTTTCTTTCCTCCTGATGTAGGACTTGGTTTTTGCCCCATCTAAAAGCTTGTATACCTTTTCAGTACATTTTCAATTTCAGTGTACATTACTGTAACCTGACTGACGTTACTGAATTGCTAAGAGTTTACCTAAGTTGACCAGCAAAGCCTCAGAAAGCAGGGGGTTGTTGGATTTTTCTGGTAGAACTCTGTTCTTGTTGCTAAGATTTTTCTTCCTTACCTGGCAGTGTCTTTGAACCTGGTTTTACAACAAGGCCACGAGCTCGGATTATTTCTACTTCCAATTGTCCTTTCTTGTCCATCATTCCCACCTGAATATCTCCTAGAAAAGAAAAAGAAATCCTGGCATTGTAATTCAAAAATAGCTAAACATATGAAAAGCTATGGGAAGTTCTAGGATGAATATGTGATGGCTTGTATCACCTGCATTCCACCAGTATGACCCAGATTTTAACACTACTAGGTAACTTAGTATGTAGCCTTTTCACTGCTGTTTAGGTTAGTAAATCATTAAAAAAACCCAGCAATAACACCTTTTCTCCCCTTTCTCATGCCCCTATTGCTCCAAATTAAATTATTTTTGTCTTAAAAATTTCAAATAAAAAGGCAGCAAGGAAATTAATATGAAGCAGCTCTGTAAAACTGCTTGAAATCTCTTCACCATGCCTCTAGTTTAAGACAAGGTTTGAAAAGATAATTATGAATATAACAAAAAATCTGTTAGCACAATAATAAATAGCACCTAAATTCCCACTTTTATTCAATAGTATCCAAGTGATTCAAAGAAAGGATTTGCCTCATTAGCCACATTTTAAAAATGGAAAACTGAAGCAGAAGAGATAAAAAACTGAAATTTTCAAAGCACCTTTCTACTTTTGAGTGTCCTAATGAACACCCACAATTATGTTTAACTTTTGCTGAGGTTATAGTTTTGGTCTTAACTGAGCTGTTCAAAGCCATATGTGAAATCCATACCTAAAGAATGAGAATCTAGGTAATGTCTATGTTCTAATTACCAGACCTAGAAGATAATATGTTATCTGTAGGACATAAACGCTTACCCATCGATGGTGTCGCCAAAGTCTGTCGCCCTACAAGCTGGGCAGGACCAAGTCCATCCAGAAAATCACTGAACTGGCTGTCTGCAGCCAACCTCACACCAGGGAAAATCAAACTAAAAAATAATGTTGAAAAGAAAATCAATAAATACACTTGAATTTGCCCTTTTTTGTTTTCTAGATGTTTTGCATTTAGCATTTTTATTTTTGGTACTGCTGCTCACAAGGAACTTATTTACACTGACAAGATTACAAAACAATTACTGTAATTTTCAAAACTTCCCAGTGTTCAACAAGCAGCAATTTGGCCTCCAGCATATAAACAAACAGGTGAAGGAAGTTCTAATCTTCACTGAGTCTAACTTCCACATTAATATTTTTCCAGCAAGCTCTCTTTTCCCAATATATTAAAGACCACTGTTAATTATTGTAGTATTCATATGAGACCAGTTCTGCAAGAAACCAATGCCCTTACCAGTAATTTAGTTACACGAAGGTAAAATTGCTCACATTTCTCAGTCAACATGAACTCAATGGCTGGATGCCAAATATGTCCAGTAAAATTATTACATTAGACTGAATACTGGTCACTATTTTTAAAATCACCTTTTAAAATCAGCATTCATTATAAAAATTTTGTTAAAAATGTCTTTGAGAATGACATATATTCAATAATGGAACTGAAATCCATTGTGGCAAACGACCAAAGTAACTTAAAATTCAAATTCTTGCCATAAATTATCTGTGACCTATTACAAGGCAACAAGAACTAATGAGATTTGTAATGACTAACCATAAATAAATGTCCATCTCAAGTGCACATAATGCATCAACTTGGACATGTAAGATATATTGTCCAGTATAGGAGTGTGATCTACTGCTGTGAATACCACTATCCACAGTAAGATTTTTCTGGGCAATGCCTTGGACATACCACTCAGAAGTCTTTAACTTGGGCTTTTATGAAAAGCATGACACATGACAGACTCATACTTCTGCCTAGACCATTTCTTCAGGATTAATTCGCAGAATCTGTGAAAAAGTCTTCAGCCCAGTGAATGACACCTGGAAATCATACACTGGAAATGCTTTGCTCTGCAAGGCACAGACATACACATGGAGTTTTGAGAAGAGAACCTGTCCTTTTCTGTGTTTTACCCCGGGCACTGCGCCCGCTTCCCCTCCTGTCACACCGCGTTTAGATGGCTCTGAGCCACCAGGTGCCTTTCTCACAGCACTGCAGAAATGATCCTCACCATTCCTGCACCAACAACGGGAGATTCTTTCGGTCAGCGGGAAAGACTAGTTAGTGACACTAGCTTGTGAAGGGAATTCTTACTGAGCAGGACCTACAGCGCCCACCTGACCTCTGTCTAACTACCAGTTTCATGGGGAAGCACCAGGTAACCACAGTAATAACCACTGCTTACTTTCCCTCAGAGCTGTAGCTGTTCATGCTCCCATCCGTTGACTCCCGGCTGGCCTGACGGGTCATCCAGTTCCTCATCTCCACGGCCAGCCCTGTCTCAGTGCTCCTCTGGACGGTGCTCCGCAGCTTCTTGCCCCCTGCTTCTGCGGAGACAAAAGAGAAGCCCCCATCGAACCGTGCCACCACAGCTGGGTGGCCCTACGGGCAGCACACCGCTGCTCCTCCTGGCAGAAACACTCAAAGACAGAAATTACTGACCTCTACCAAACCTTTCATTTTAAAATTGCCATTTTTTTTAAAATGAGGCAAGCAGCGTCGTAAAGCTCTTTTACTGGACCTTAGTTTGTCACTGCCTGCTTTCCAAGGCAGACAGCATACGCCAAACACAAGTCTGCCCACAGAGGTAACCAGATTTACATTACCCATAATCTAGTATGTTTAAAATATGTTTTCTCTGGACGAATACATCCCTTTTAGGAATTCAATTAAAATGTTACCATTATGTCAAAGCCTGCAATGTCTGAGGAATGGTCTAATTCAGATGAATTATTTGATTTAAAAACATTTGGCCATTATCTGCTAAATCGAATTACAGATATCCATTAGTGATGACAGTAAACAACAAATCAAGAATCCTTCCCATTCTGTCTTCTCCATTCACCTTTCTCTCATTTCGCTAGCTGCTTTAACTTCGTATCTAAAAAATACAGTATTGACTTTTATGCACAATAGGAAACTTTATTACCACCTCCAAGAGTAACAATTTTTGTACCTGCTTGCATAGGCAAATTTTACTTGACAAAACAGCAATGTGATAGCTCGGTATCAGACAAGGGAAAACATACTCAAAACTTAATACAGTAGTGTTTGAGTGTAGGAATTTTGATAAAGACCTTTATCAAAGGAAGATAAGTTGCAAGCATCACCAAAAAAACAAACAAACAAAAAAAAGAAAGTAGTAGGAATGAGGCCTCAGCATTTCTTTCACGAATAAGACAGTCAATCCATGCCATTTCTCATTTTAAATGATGTTCCCAATTCTGCAATCCAATTTCTTTTATCTTTTCAATACCCTCCTGACTTCAGCCCAGCGATATACTGCTATTATGAAAGAGCAATAACTCCAAAAGTACATGTCACCAAATGATCCTGGAATTCTTCTATATTGACACGAGGGTAGAGTATACCCAAGATCCTAGGATATCTAGGGACTCACTCCTCTTCTGCAGTGATTTCTAGCCTCTACTACTCTTTACTTCTCTGGCTCATCATGTACCAGAGGACAGAAGCTGAACCTGTGAGATCGGTGAAGCTCTAGGGATTTGAAAAAGGAAATGAGAAAGGGAGAAGATTGTACTGGGACAAGGACTCTGACACCCTGAGGAGGGCATGTGAGCTCAGGGGCTGGTTTGGAGGACCTGCACCTCTTGACCGGGAACAGGAGAGGGACATCAATTTCATGTTCTCCACTCAGTGTCACTCTGTCCTACAGGCTGCAGAGTGCAGCTCAACTTTCCCGGGAATGCCCCTGAGGCCCTTGAGCCAGGAAGGACACTAGATCAGATAAAGAACCTGGGAATTTTAGTGAAGTGGGAAACGCATACAAAACACCATGGAAACCCACTGGCCTCTTGTCCAGAAAGATTTAATAACACTACAACATTTAGCAGTAGTGAGACATTTCTATAGCAGTATCATGAGTGGTTCAAATCACATCATTGCTTATTACAAGCCTCCCATGCATTCCTTAAGACCATAACTTTTAATCTGTACCTAAAGAATAACAGAAGTAGTAATTTTGCCCTAGAATTTCAGCTAACTCCATGAATTTAGTATTCAACAGAGGGAAATATTTTTTTCACTATGTCAAAACTACTTCTGAAAATTCCATCAATATCTGGTGCAATAAATACAAGTAAAAAAGATACAAGGCTAATGTGACATATGAAAAATGAAGGGCAGAAGTCAACAATTTCATTTATATTGGGTTGTAATGTTCCAAGTGTCTGCTGGTTTTATTATTTATAATAAACTAATGAAAGCTGGCAGCTGACTTCCAGAGTTGTTCTGAAATCCAATCACTCATATCAAAGAAATATTCCCACAAAGCTGCCTGGCAAAAAGACAAAAAAAAGTGCTACAGATTTGTAGAAAGGTACACTGTGTCATAGTTACACGTGAAAGGCTCTCAACTCCTGAAGGCCCACGCTCTTTTCATTAAGGCATTGCTACGGGATATTACTCTTTTGTTGTAAGAGCTATTCTGATTAGTAAGCGTTAATCTTGTTGAATGGTAGGCATTCTCAGCTTATTATTGCAAACACGAATTCTCTCATGCAAATTTAACAAACATATCCATCTTGCATGATTCTTCAATCTTTTCATATCTTTCAAAGATTTGGGGATATACTATGACTAGTATATCTATGACTTTGAATATGTGATATGTGAAGGAGTCTATAGTAACTTGTATTAATTAGTAAGGCAGATATTTTTCTGAATTAGAATTATAAGTCTGTGTGTCTTCACTCTAGCAGAACACTCACAGAAAAAAAATCAACACATCTGTTGCACATCAATTTACTGAGAAATCAAGGCAGAAGTGGTGCAATTGCCTTTCTATTCTCCATAGAGGCACATGTGTTTCACCAGCTGTTCCTAGCATCCGTCTGAACCTTATTTTTAAGCAGTTTTACTTTTCTGCATTCATTTTAACTGAAATAAGTGCTCGGGTTCACATGAAGACAGGCCAACAGCTGAGAAGATACAACTTTGATACAGGATGAAAGTTAGGCACACATAGGATATCCAACTTTTGTGTAAGTGCGTGAACTCATTACTTTGACCCTAACACTGAATTTAAGGAGGGCCAAAAAGAGGCTATGTGAATAACTATTTTTGAGTTTTCAATAGAAACAAGCAGAGCTCTCTGATGGTCCCGAAAGATCTGACCTTTCAGCAATAGGGCTCCTAATCATGATGCTGATGCTTCTTGAGATAAGAATTGAAGATTTAACAGCAAAATGGCAATTTGGAATAGAAGTACAGAAAAAGCCCCAGCTCACAGACATGACTCCTGACCAATTGCTTTAGAGATTAATAAACTAATATGTAATCATACACATGAGAAATACCTACACTCACTTGATTGCACACAATCTTAGCAATACATTGGTCCCTGGAAAAACGTAACGAATCAAATGTAACAATTTAAAAGCAAAGACAGAATTTATATAAGCCATAAATTGTTTCATGAATTCAACATTAAAATAATTAAAAGGTTGCAAATAGCAATGAAAATGTGAAGTAGTTAAATAAATAGCCTTTGGTGCCATACCCCAACTGTAGTTGGTAGAAGATGTGGTTGAAGGTCTTACCACGCCAGTAAATCCAAATTGTTTTCCCTCATTCCTGCCTGGAAATTAAAACCTCCTCTGTTATGCTAATTCAACTACTTGTGTGGCTGCATTCTGCACTGAACCCAGCCCAAAAGGGACAGAACAACAATACATTTTAAAGTTGTTCTTTTTCTTTTAAGACAGATCATTTCCCAAAAACAATTGTGAAAACAAACACACAGTTGAATGAGCCCAACTGAGGTGATGCTAATCTCTAACTGGATGAATAATTTGGGAGCATCTGCCACTAACACAGAAATAAACATGTAACTGGTGCCCCTGTAAAAGTTAGGGTTTGGTTTTATAATCGTAAAGTATTTATACATATACACTCAACTCATGGACCCTTTTAATCCTACCAAATGAAAGGATATGGAAACAGGAGAGTCTAGTAGTGTACTTTGTTGCTAAGTATGTTGCTGACCACCTACACTGAAAATCATCTTACTCACAATTTACTAAACTCTAATTAAAGAACATTGAAAATGTTCTCCAAATTAGTATAATCTAATTGCCCTAGAAAGAAGAAATTTCTCTCAAGTCCCCATCACAAAATATGGAATATATTATCTGAAAAACACTAGTTCAGATTCTTGTGGCCATATTGCAAGGAGTGGAATAAATTACCAGAAATAATTACTTTGGCATTTATGAAGGCACATTCATTCTTATAGTTAATCACACTGGTAATTTAACTAATATGGTTACTGCAAATAGACTCCACAGGCCACATTTTCTGAATTACACGTGGAATTATTTGTTCCCACAACTTGGGAGTGCAAATCACTTGCAAATTAGGGGTGCAGAACTACTGATACAATCCTCAGTATCAGATGAGGACAAGTCGAAAACTGCAGTGAATGCAACAGACAATCTTGCATGGTCTGGTATCTGGCCAAATGAAATCTGCCTCCGGTGGGGAGAGCAAGAGCTCTCAGCAAGAGCTTCCAACAACTGCTCACCAGCAGGCACAGAGCCCCGGGCCAGGACATCACTGGCGCAGGCAGAGGCAGGCTGGCTACGCACTCCCCAGGTGGTACGTGAGCTCTTGGCAGGGCTTGTACCCAGTACAGAGCAGCTGTGGCTTCAGGAACACACTCGAGTGCTTGAGGTGAGTCCTCTCTGCTCTCCTCACCTCACCAAGAAGGCTGCATAAAAACTGCTTCAGTATTTCCATTTGACCTCAGGAGTCAGCCGCCTGTAAGTGACCATTTTTCAGGAGCAAAGCTCTTCACGTATCTACAGATCTGCCCTGGGCATGTTAAGAACAGGCTAGATAAAATCATCAGAGTCTAAGAACATTTCACCCTGCCTTAGAAAAGGGGGACAGGGTAGGTGTCACATTCCCTTGCAGTCACAGAGTTCTGTGTCTGGAATAGCCCAATGGTGCCTGAATGTGGCCAAAATGCTGCATCAAATGAGGCACTTAGCCCTTGTTGAAGCACTGCTGGGAACCACAGCTGAGTTGGTCCCTTCCTTGTGTTACCCACAGAACCCAAGAAGCAGCCACAGGTTAGAATCTACTGATTTAAGCAGGCTTTAGGAAACCCAGATTCCACTGTCACCTCAGTTTCAGAAGCTTTGAGCTCACCAAATCAATTCTCAGAGGCCAGTGCTAATGACCAGCTTATGAAGTGTTATAAAGTCCCTCTGATGAAGGTTTTTCACAGCACATGCCGTAAGTATTTATGAAGGCTAAAGAGCACCTGCAGGGCTAAGGACAAACTGTAGCCAGGGGCTCTTCC